ATAAGATAGTTCCCCAATGACGTCATCTGCCGCCATATTTGTAGTCAGCTGAAAGATTAACCTTAGACTTTATATAGTGTTTTACAGCTGAAATAAATTCATTGAATTTCTAGATGCTTTTAGGTTTTAGGAAAATTTCATATATATATATATATATATATATATATATATATATATATATATATATATATATATATATATATATATATATATATATATATATATATATATATATATATAGAGAGAGAGAGAGAGAGAGAGAGAGAGAGAGAGAGAGAGAGAGAGATAAGGCAAATACAAAGCAACATATACAAAGCATACAAATAAAAACAAATATATATATATATATATATATATATATATATATATATATATAGAGAGAGAGAGAGAGAGAGAGAGAGAGAGAGAGAGAGAGAGAGAGAGAGAGAGAGAGAGAGAAAAAGAGAGAGATAAGGCAAATACAAAACAACATATACAAAACATACAAATAAAAACAAAAACGTTGTGTTTGTAAAACTCTACATGGCTTTCTCTACTTGAGTTAAACCTATAGATACATTTGTTTTCTATATGTTTTGTATATGCCTTTGAAAAAGACTCTTTAAGAGTCGAAAGCGCTCAGACTAATTAGTTACTAGTTTCGAACTGTTCGTCGTCAATTTATTGCATCTATCTTAATCAATTCCTGACACACGTGATCCCTTGCTGGATCCCGTGGGCTTGAAAGGGTTGTTATTCGCCACATGATATATAACACAAATGAAGCTTTAAGTTAGTATATGTATTTTTGATTTATAAGTTAACTTTGCTTTATTGTGCCTTTTTTAAAAATGGTAAATTTTGGTGTTTGCATATAGGAGATACTGCCAGATTGCCCATCGTCCAGGTAAATTGGGCAGAATAACGTCTGCTAGTGATTTTATCGAGAAGCATCTATACCAGCATTTCTTTAGGCAAAATTGCCTTTCTCGTTTAGACAAGTTTTTAAATGCATATTTATGATCCATTTTCCAGAACTTCTTTTGTATATTATAGTCCCTCTGCGAAAGACTTACCAGATATAAAAAGCTAAAAACAATTGGTTCTTTAAATAGTCAAAAATTATTTCCTTTCGAGAACTGAGATAATAAACCCATCCACTTTTGTTCCTATTGATCTGTCAGAGCATCCACGATGGATCATTCTGTTGCTGGTGGCTTAATAATAAAATTAGAGTACAATAAATCAATTTGATCGACATCTTGGATAATCTCTTTCGTTTCCCCTTATGTGTCCATAAAACCCAGTTTTGACATCTTTAAACATATATGAGCTAAATTACTTCATTTTATTGTTATACCCGTTCGTTATGGCAATCCAGAAAGCCTAGAGTTCTTTACCTAATGTAAATCGGAACTGAAAATGGTCCTAGGTCAGTATATGGAATATTTGAATGAGTGCTCTATGTTTTGTACGTATTTCCATGTTACGTATAACGCAGGAAGCAATTTCTCAACTACGCATATGTTCTAAAATTCAGACACTCATACAACAAAATTCATACAATAGTATATCTAAAAGAAAACACATAAAGACTGAAATGTTAATTTAGAGTAGTTAATTTTCTTATAAAGAAGAAACACGCGTTGTTTTCTTGATCGACGGGGTATAGTGAGATATTAGGGAAATTCATCGACTTTGAAAAAAAACCCCACCTTAATACTTAAAGTAATCAGCAATTTCTATTACATTTCTCTAAAAATCTATCATTTACACGAACAATTTTTATTTTTGTTTTATAGATGTTTATACTTACTTCCCAAAAATAGCAATAGCTAAAAATACAAACTTTTACGGTTTCTTTGAAACCACACATCGTCCTATGCAAAAATAAATGCGTTGTCGACAAATAGTAATAAAATAGTTTGAGAAATAAAACGTATGTATTTTGGTAATTAATTGTTTCGCCATCATTTTTTTTATTTGAACAAGGTAACTTTCGAGATCGTATAGATCAAATTAAAATAAGATTGGAGAGAGAGTCTTCCTCCCTAACCAACTCCCGCATTGCAAAAGAAATATGCTGAATAGTCTACATTATAACCTACAAGATTTAATATTTGAGAATTAATTAATTAATTAAATTGTGAACATCTATACAAAAAGGTATTTATTTCACATAACAACAAGTTACGACAAAGAGCGAAACACCAAAACAATTTAACCTTTCTAAAATCAACGAAAGTGCAAATAGCGTTTTCTTTTTTTAATATTATAATTTCGAACGTAAAGTGAAGAACTATGATGTTGACCGATGTTACTCTACATTTGTTCTTTGTTGGTTTTTAAGGTGTTATCTCCATTGTTATATTATTTTTTTCTTCTTTTTGGATACAAACGAAAACTTTATGTGGACGTCTTTTCTTAACGACGATTTTCAAGAACACATGTTATATTTGGAATGTCTTATTTCATATATCGTTATATTGGCCAATAAAAAGCATGTAAACAAACGCATCGACTTGAATATATTTGTGAACACGGAAATTCTTTTCGCAAATAGACCCTTCTAGGGCTCATAGTAGGGTAAATTAAAGGAATAGACTGTCAGTTAACTCTTTTTTTTTTTTAACCCGATATGACCTTTTATCTGTCAGTTAACCAAAACAAAACTAACATAATTTAAATTTACCGTCTGCATCTAACAATTACTGAACTCAACAGAACGGACAAGGGAAACAGACAAAAAAACGGACAAGGGAAACAGACAACAGAACGGACAAGGGAAACAGACAACAGAACGGATAAGGGAAACAGACAACAGAACGAACAAGGGAAATGGCAGCAAGCCTTTTATCGGACGGGAAAGATTAGGTTAATTGCGAAGCCTAGAAACGTGTATTTTTCATTATTGCTGAATATTTTCTTTCTTTTTTTTACACGCAATTAATTAAATTGTAAATGTTTTCGTTTTAATTCCCTTTTCGCCCCCCTCGTCCCCCGTCTCCCGCCCCCCCGCCATGTAAAAAATATATATACATATATAGATTTCATGCTGATATAATGCCCATTGCAAATGCAATATTCGTGCTAGAAGACGTAACAATCATTTAAAATAAAATATATTTAATTGCTTGGATTTGTTTGCCTTGATAAGAGCAGTATATTTATAAATTTAAAATTACAAACCAAAGTCATTCTCGTGTGAAACATATTGAAAATGAACATCTCCAGTTCTTGTGCTGTAAACCATGTATACATGCAGGCATATCGGAACCTTATAGATACAAGATCATACACGTGCCACGCTTCTGCCTGGGATTGATTAATTGGAATCTAAGCATTTAACTTTGTAAACGTTTGGATCTATTTGTTGAGGTAGATGGCCTATTTGAGTGACTCTTTGACTCAACTGAAAGGTTTAATGTTGTATACCTTTAAGGACAATTTTCATCTATTGTTGCCCAGTTAAATAATTCGTAACCGTAATCACGCCAGACTAATAACAATTATGGTCGGTTCCCATGTTTATCGGGGAATTATGTACGTAAAATAACGGGTGAAATGGTTCGTAATTGCAACATGTTTTCTTGGTTCCTATAGGGTCACACCTAGAAAGTGTTCGAAAAGGGACATCTATTGTTTATTTGTACATTCTTGGTGGTATTGCCTGGAGCAACTTGTCCTTATTGCACTAAATTTTTTTTCTAGGTAAAGCGTTTCACCACTGAATCTTTTCTAAAATTACTATAACGCAAATAAACTGTATATAATTTATATCCCTAACTGTTAAATTGCACATCAAACATCCCAGGTCTTCACGCGTACGTGAGATGTATGCAGTTACATATTTGGTTGCGGTTATTCTTTGATCTCGACGTACATAATTAAACTCCGGGCATTTGCGAAATAAGAGAATAAAAACGACGCGATTGCTCTTCAAATAACGTCAAAGACTTCCGTCCTAGAAGTCGTCTCGGCGAAATAAATTGGTATGTTTATTGATTTAACGGAAGAGCATCACAATACTGATCATATGCCGCCTATTAAAATTAGAGTTGCGAAAATATAAATAAAAAGAATGGGACAGAAAATATGATACAATTTATACTTTATTTATACTCTCGATGACCAAACCTATCAAAACGGTTGTTCATTATTAACTGCTTCAAAGAGATTTATCTAAAAACAACTTGTTTGCCCCATGGAAAAATAAGTATGTTAGAGAGAGAGAGAGAGAGAGAGAGAGAGAGAGAGAGAGAGAGAGAGAGAGAGAGAGAGAGAGAGAGAGAGAGAGAGAGAGAGAGAGAGAGAGAGAGAGAGAGATGTACCTTTAAACATTTTATACTGCAGTATACATCGGTAACTTTAAACCTACCGTGATTGTATTAGGGACCAACAATTCGTTGTTTTTTTTTAGTTTTTCAGCACACGATAGGAGGCTAAAATATAGGGCATGCAGCTAGGGACTGTACCACTTTTATACCAGGGGCGACTTATGCAAGAGCCACCTATGCTGAAAAAGTGGTCCAGAACGAAAACTTAGATGAAAGAGAGTATAACGAAATACGGTCAGCTTTCAGTCATGTCACGGAACAGGTTAGAGTAGAATAAAATCAAAGCCCGCAAGTTGCATCTTTTATGTGGTCATTCTACACTGCATATTTTCTTTTTTTTTCTTGCCATGGAGAGACAATCAATGACATATTTTTCTGGTTTCCATTTACTTTCTTTTCCTTGATTTTCAGATTTATGTTACTTCTTTTCCCTTGTAATTGCTTTTAGTCTTTTACGGAAAAGCACATTTTACTGGCATTGCTTTTGCATCACAGGAACTCTGTCAGTAATAAAAATAAGACTACAGATGGCACCTACTCTCCTTCCAATTATCATGATCTAATTAGCTCACCTAGTTTGAAGTCCGCCCTTCGATGATTCCGGTTTATTATTTACCATCGGTACATTCAGCCACTCATACATGATAGGAACGTAAAGGAGACATTTTGTGCAATGTATGATTCGACCGCTCCGGTGGCCTAGTGGTTAGAGCGTCCGCTTTGGATTCGGGAGGTCGTGGGTTCGATCCCTAGTTGAGTCATACCAAATATTTACAAAAATGATACTAACAGCTGCCTCGCTTGGCGCTCAGCATTAAGATGTCAGTGTTAAGACTGGTCAGCCTGGTGTCAGGATAGTGTGACTGGGTGGGACATCATGCCACAATGCTAGACATCAATACAAACACAAACTGTCACGCTGCAGACATCGTAGCGATATGACAGAAAAATTGTTAAAGCTACATTAATAATCAAAATCACATATCACACTGAATATATATATATATATATATATATATATATATATATATATATATATATATATATATATATATAAATGGACTTGCTGGTAGACTTTAGGTTTTATGGAACAAATTTTAATAATAATAATAATAATAATAATAATAATAATAATAAAAATGGGTTTTATGTAAATTCAAAAATATTGAATACTAAAACAATCAGATTATAAACTGAGATAGAAATTAGAACACTAAATAGAATAAAATGATGTGAAAGAGTGTGGACGCTCAATAGGTTTTTAGAAAAAATTATTATTTTATTTGAAATAAAAAATGTACTAAGCACATATTTGGTAATAGAAGGAGACATCTTTAAAAAATGGGATATTTTTAAATATAAAGTTAAAAGAATAGCTATAAGATTTTCAATAAGGATAAGCGAACTTTAAAAAGGAAAAACGGTAAATAATATGGTATCTAAAACAAATTATAGAAGAGGGGATAGAAAAAAAAAATGATTAAAGAAAGATTAGAGGAAATAGGGGAAGAAGAAAAAAGAGGCACAGAAATACGAGCATAAAAATGTTCGGGACTATACGACACAGCTGTTATAGCGATACCAATTGCGCAAGTCCAGGTGGGTGGAATTTAAAATGTAGGAACATTGCATTCAGAAATAAACAACAACACTAGCTCTCATTGGACCATTATGTAAGAGTTGTACTTTCTGTTTGGCTTATAAAAAAGTTGAGCCTCTTGGCAACATGTGAGAATATGTTAATTCATATCTAGATCATATTTTGTATTTTTTTTTTGAATTTTTTTTTTTTTTGAATTTTTGAAAATGTGGTACACAAGACGGAAAATGTGTCTGTTGTGACTAGATAATTCATACCCCTGTTTAGTTCAAGCAGAGTTATCTCTCTTAAATGCAATTGAGTACCTAGTTCTGTCACTGTCGAATTGACAATCTAACATTGCTCTCTAGAAAAGTGCGTGACATGCATGCACAATTAGGATATAAAATATATTTATTTCCCAAATCATTAGCATCCAGGTCTGTAGAAAACTGGAAAAACTATTGGTACCGTGATAGCAGCTAGAGGATTGGCAAAAAGAGTATAGTTTAGAAAGGGAGAGAACAAGATTATAACTGTTTTAAAGAATGAGAATAATGTCCCATTAACAGACAAGGAATAGATATTGAACAGAATAAAAAATGACTATAGTGAATTATACAAAACTTAAAATATAAAGGAAGATGAAATATATATATGTATTTAAAGGATATTAAATGTGAAAAAATAATATCAGAACATATGGACATATGTTATGGATTTATATTTGAAGAAGAAATGATAAAAACTAAAAACTCCCTAGAACAAGGGAATACACCATGATGAGATTTATTCACGAGTGAATTTTATAGAAAATTAAAATGTGAGTTAGCGCCGATCTTAGAATCCTTATATAACAATATACTATCAAAAATGATAAAATAGCACCTTCTATGAGAGAAGAACTAATTAATATCTTAAAAATACAAATGAAAAGGAGATAAAAAAAGATTTGAATACCTGGAGGCCCATCACCCTCATGAATAATTAATTATAAGATACTAAGCAAAATATTAGCAAATATATAATAGCAAACAGAATCTAAAAAAGTATGGGTAAAATAATAAATAAAAATCAAACTTGTGGAGCGCAGATATACAAAATAATATCTTAAACATAACAACTATAATAGAATTTATCAAGAAAACGTGACAAAAGGGCTCCATGTTGCTTATAGACCAGAAAAAGCTTTAGACAGAACTATAAAAAAAACACTATGCGCCAAAGGTACTTGCGAAATATGGATTCAGAAGCAATTTGAATTTAGATTTGGAAACAATGTTCAAAAATGGACTCAAATCCTGTACAAGGATATAACTGGCAGAGTACAAGTCAATCGAACTAGCACGGAAAGATTTGAAATTAAAAGATCAGTGCGACAAGGATGTCCACTGTCATTGCTATAATATGTACTAGCGATAAAAATACTGAGTGTAACAATAAAATGAAATAAACTAATTGAAGGGATCAAAGTACAAAATTTGAGAGAAGAGTTTAAAATGCTCCAGCGTGCAGACGATTGTATAAACTTTATAAAACACCCAAATTCTTTTAAACACTTATAAAAAGAATAAAAAAATTTCGGTAAAGTATCAGGATAAAAAAAAAATTAATCGTAAGAAAACGGAAATTTTGAAAATATAAAACTTGAGAGAGAACAAAATCAAAGCTCTTGGCATATATTTTGATCAAAACGATGAACAGGAATACCTAAAAAATATAAAAAAAAGAAAATAAATAGAAGTATTCAGACCTGGGCACAAACGCCACTGAGTATAATGGAGCAAACTCAAGTAAAACGTACGTTTACTCTAATATTAATTATGTTTTAAAATCGCTAGATTAAAACAATAAATACTGAAAATCCTAGATAAAGAAATTATATATTATGTTGAAAAAGAAAATGAAATACAGATACAAAAAAAACTTTATATAAAGAAGAAAAAACAAAGGGGTGTTAGTACTATCAAACTTAATAAGGAAACAAAAAACAAATATTTTAATCGCCTTGTAAAATTAAAAGCAAACCCAAGCATGCCCAGAGAAGCACTATATATATATATATATACATATATATATATATATATATATATATATATATATATATATATATATATATATATATATATATATATATATATATATATATATAAAGAGATCTTTATACTAAGAATCCAAAGTACAAAGCAGAAATGGAACATTGGGGTATTGGGTGAATTATTGGAATGTCACTTAGAAAAATTGGTGAACTATGAAATCACTAAAAATACAAAGTATAATGTTTAAATACCTTCACGATTTGTGGGTAACAGGGGAGGTGACAAAAGGTATTAATATTATAAAAATAATTCCAACTTGTCCACTCTGTAAAAGAATAAATTTTACAAACAATTGTGTCATGATTGAGTGCATTGAAAAGAAAATAGAAAGGAACAAAATTATTATAGCTATCTCGGGAAAAAACTATATATATCAGAAAAATACTCTTTTATATTTAGATACCAAATTAGTAAAAAAAAAAACAACCACATATCTGAAATAATAAACTTTTTAAGAGATACTATGACAGAATGTGGACAAGTTATAGTAATACATAAATAGTTTACCTTCCTAAAATTAGGAAACTGAATATGTTTTCCTTTTTTATTTTAACTAAACTTACTAATCAACCTTTAAGTATAAAACCACAGCAACTAATGTAATTGAAATAACATTTATATTGTACAATTTTTTGCAGATAGGAAGGGACGGGGAATCTGCACATGGACGAAGTAGGAGACAGAAGCGCCATCAGGCGATATCACAAGGCGCCACGCGAAGTGGGAAGGCTAATGGAAGAGTCTCCGAAAAATCCACGCGAAGAATAGGGACAAAACTACAAAAACACATGGAAAGTATTTAATATGTAATAGGAAAGGAATTCCATAAAATTATCAAGGACTAGCAAAACTTGTATATAAATAAATACTTTTTGAAATTTTATATTTGGAAAATAAATTTTTGGAGAGGCCTGGTCGATGTCAAGTGAAGTGAGGCAGAGGAATAGAGACACATGGCTCCTTACAGACCATCCTCCTATATTCAAAATTTAAACACGAGGAATGACACATAAATCAGTATTCACAAAAACACAATTTTTTTTATTTTATAAATATATTACACCAGTTCATATACAATATTCTAAATTTAAATAAAGTTAAATAACTTGTTTATATGTTAATAGCAACTAAAAAATGTTACATTTATGACTCGCCGTCCTTACATATACACATATATAGCATACCCACAATAGAGCAATACACACATAGCACTCACAGGATGTAGGCGACCCTAGGCAAGGGTCAATGGAAACGAAAAAGGATGAACCTTTCTGATCTGATGAACAAAATCGGAGAAGGGAGGTCACCTTTTAGATAACACTAGGGAAAAATACCCCATTCTAAATTTGGGTCTTATTTGCAAAAAAAAAAAAAAGAAAATCTTTTATAAACAAAAAAAATCAAACATATCAAGGGGACACATGAATATATGACTTTTTTTGGCCAAGTGGGAGAGGACATATGTCTGGTGCCCAACCCTACAAGCAAAAAAAGAACCCGGGAAAGCCACCCCAAAAAAATCACCGAACCACGCGGACAGAGGTGAGATGGCAGTGATAGATTAAGGCGAGCGCTTTAGGCCACTCATCAAACCGGGGCCAGACCGGTAATTTAGTATAGGACAAAGATTCGATCAAAATCTTACATCACTGTCAGTTATTGTTTAGGGTCGAACCCTTGGCTGCTCGTGTTTTGAACGAAGAACAACTTAAGTAAATTTGTGCGTTGATAAATGATTTGTTGATTTCAAACAAAACCAAATTAATAACCATATCCAGAATATCTGAAAAGGAAGATATCCCGCAACATTTCACGAATGGTACATTATTAGAAATGTCAGTTTTCATAAACAATTGGTCTCGATACTGGAACAACCCTAATCTTATGAATGCTATGGAATCTTCTACCGTTGGAAATTAGAAACAACAATCGGGGTGAAAGATTTGTGCAAATGATGCACACAAGATTTCGACTATTTTGTAGTTAAAGGTCATCGGCCACCTATATTGTACAAACGTGTGATAGTATTATAGTCATAAAAAAACGCATTTGGTATGTATACACACCATAAAAATACTTATTT